AATCAATTTGCTCATCTGATGAATATGTGAGATAAGGCATATTAAGTTCATAAAAGTTAATGGAATTAAAGCTTAACCTACAAACATTTGTTGAACTTTGTGGCTTAGTAATGCCCTCCATACAACTTGATAACTTAATACTAGTAAATTGATTCATAAATCAATCAAATTGTTCATTTGTATATTACTTTGCGTGAAATTACAGTTAATGTCTACTTATCAACAGTTCTTTTCCTTCCACTCTATTTTTCTTACACTGTACAAACATTATTTTTTCATATTTAATTCAGTAGCATTAATATCAGCTTACCGAGTACCTATGGAAAATTTTAAAAACAAAACGAAGAAATCAAATACAATAAAAAGTAGAGTAAATATGACAAAGTTATGATTTATTTCAAATGTCATGGGTTGTATGGAATTAAATTTGCTTGTAATTACTTTTTGTGAATTTTGAGAATCACGCGAGTGGATTTGAAGTTAATTATAGTATTTTGTGGTGTAGTTTTGAGCAGAAAGGCATTAATTTTATGAAAAAGGGAATTGATGTCTCGTCAAGATATGGTTCAAATGAAAATGGATTTTTTAAAAATTTAAGGTTTTAAGTGGCTCTTCAATCTTGAAGCTGGACTCAAAATTTGGTAACCTAAAGTGTAAACCTCAATTTAAATTGGGACGAAGAAGGGGTAATTAATTATTTGAAAATTGGCTGGTCTTCATAGCTACATCTTTGACACTAGTTCTCCTAACCATCAAAATGTTTAATTAAGTTTTGCTTAGCATAGTTTATTGAGCTGAAGTGGCTCGGTGGAGGAATGGTTTTGTTCTTTCGTACAAAATTATTGCAATTCCTACACAGCGATCAGGGGTTCGAGACTCGGCAAGGTAAATTTTTTTATTTGTCTTTTTTCGATCCATATAGACTTTAAATGAGGCTATGGAGGCTATGGAGGCTATCAAAGGAGTAGTTTAAGAACTATACTAGGTTTGAGTGCAAGTGGACTGGCGGATGAGGATTCGTTAAATGCTCATTAGTGGCCGTTTACTTATGAAGTCAATGAAGAGGGGGGGGGGGGGGATTAGCAAGAAAAAACAAGAAAAATTCCTGGAAATCCGTTCTTTTCTTTGACTGTTAATTTCGTACGTCGTAAGTAAACGATCCCTTAGATTCCTACCATAGCGCACCTTTGGATCAAAAATAATCTAAATAGGTAAAGGTATTTTTTTTGCATATTTTAAGAACCAAAAATAGCTTTTTTTGAAAACACAAACGTTGTAGATCCAAAAAACATTCATTCTATAGCCTGAAAACTATAGCGTTCTATAGCCAACTTTAATATTTCTTGTTAATTTCAAACACATTCCTCCAACTGTATCATGAACCTTCCGTAGAAGTTTGACTAAATTATAAATAAATATTGAATTTATATTATGTATACATACTCGTACAGCAGGAACTTAAATGAACATTAGAATGAACACACAAAGATTGTTTCAAAAAGAAAAAAAATATATGTGTGGGTTGCCGACAACAAAAAGCCGGTAGTCAGAAGCAAGTGGAGGGAGTAAAAGGCATGCAGACTAATTTACATTAATTGTGACTTCCTTTGCTCTTATTTTCTCTGTACCTACACTTTCCTAACAATTGCTTCAACTTAACATTGTGTGGATGAGAATAAAAAGAACAATCAAAAAATGATGAAGGAATGAAAACTTTTCTGTCATATTGTGCCTAATGTTTATTTATAAATTTCAGTTGTAGACAAAAATGTTGCGAACCAGAGGATTAAAGGTAACTGGGAATATCCCAAAAAAAAATTAATTTAATTAAACAGAAAAAAAGTGAAAATGTTTTAATGAATGTAATTAATATGGCTACACATTTACATATCCTGCAATGCACACAGGAGTTTTGTGTATTAGTTGGAATTAAACGAACATTTGAGTTAATCATGGTGAAGCACAGTCGGGGGGCAATGGAAGTCTGTTTATTTATATGGGAAATATATACATGTAATCAAAGGATATAAATGTTAAACGAGAATATAAATGTAATAAGGGAATAATTTTTTAATTTATTTCTGCATGTTGGGGTTGAAATATTTGCTTTTTATGTTTTGGGATTTTTTTCCATAACATTTTATGGAATTAAGGAATTAATTATAACTGAAAATTTAAATTAAATTTAATACCGAGAAAATTAAGCTTTTCGAGATTTGTTATTTTTTCTGTGAGTGGTAGCGGTTGCCAGAAAATTAGCACAGATTCTACATGAACGAGGAATAAACTCATTAGCTGAATAGTTTTCCATGTGACTGCCTTCAAATTTTTTTGAGTTAATTAAAAAAGTTTAATCGGGATTTAATTTTATTGCAACGACTTAAAGATGAAAAATTATTGTGATGCATTAAAGCTAGCTAATTAAGTGTTGTTTGCTGGATATTTGATGAATTTAAGGATGCACGAGATAGGGACAAAATCAGAGAGTTATGTCTTCAGATTACATATTCAAAAAAATCTATTAAATTAAAAAATTATACCTGTCAAGATAATGAAGGGGGTGGGGGTCTTCTTCCGACTCATTGGCACCAGTAACATTAGGCAGAAAGACCCTTAGCAGAAGCTAACTTCATAAAAAGAAGTCGACTCGATTTTTGGACGAACTCAAACTTACCAAATCTAGTAAATTTCGAGTCAATTTCGTATTTTAATTCAACTCGTTCCCGAATAATTTGATAAATCAAAAGTAATATTTTAAACGAACTTTCATTCCTTAAAACAAATAAGCCTAGACTAGAAAAACACAGCTTTATCCCTTTTTAATAATAATTAATTTCCTTAAGAACTAAGCAAGAAAAATTAACAAAATGCACACAAGCAAGGAGAATGAATGAAAAATAGCGACCAGAGAAAGCAATTAACAATAAGAAGGTAAGTAGAAAATTGTCGTTGAACACGCTCGTAAATAAACTGTCCAGGCATAAAATATATGTCCACAATTATCCAGATACCTCACATAATGTCATACAATTACTTTTAAATTAACAATCTCATGTTGTCATAATTAAATTTCTTGTTTGTACTTTAAGCACAGCCATTTGTTAAGAGTTCCTCCATATTCGTAATATTCAATGTGATTACTCAAGAGGTATGCTCGTCTACGTTTGCCGTTTCGAAATATTGTTGAATACATAAAAAGTGAATGAATGGGAAAGCTTTATTGTCACCCATAAAAAAAATTTTTTGTGAAAGGAACAAAACAATAAAAATTGTTAATGTCGACATTGCGTTTCACACGATGAAAATCCCATAAAATTATCTCTCAATATCATTCACTTGCTTCCTTAGCTTATCATCCTCTCCTTATCTTCTTTCCTTTTTATTTCCATTCTTTAGGCAACCTTGTATTCAATGATATTGACTCGATGGGGTGTGGAGTCATTTACACACATGTTCTCTATATATAGCAATTGGTTACCTGTGTCATGTCTAGATTACTTGACAATATTGTCGTTTACAATTTTTTTTTATTGATAAGCATCAACGAATATTGTGGGTGCCTCTCTTCTTTTATTCAGACTCATTTTCATCTCATATTTTTCTTATATGATGTGCGTGGGTTGTAAAGCAAGCATGGATGATGATTGCGTAAATAAATGCTTTAAATTTTTAATAAACTTCTTTTTTTTCATGCCTCACAATAGCTTATGAAATGAAGCGGAATGTCTAAAAAAGCTTCGTAAATTTTTAATGATTTTCGTCCTTCACTTTTGCCTGTTTTACAAGAGGAAACATACAGCACAAAAAAAGAGAGAGATTCCCCAGTGAGAAATGAAGCAGCATGAAATTTCCATTTTATACCTTTGTCTAGGTAAATGGCATTGAAAATTGAATTCTAGGTTACTCGAGTTTTTATGTGACTTGTGGCTGCTTCTGGGATTTTCATTTCTGTCCTTTTGAAATCTGGTGGAGTTTTATTTAGGGTAACCATCTAATTTTTATGAAAATACAGGACATTTGATAAAATTTCCTAAAAAATACAGGACACAAAGGAAAACTTGAAAATTAACGGAAATTTTCTTGAAAAAAATACAGGACCTGGAACAAAATTTTCAAATTTATAAAGGACAGGGTTTTGAAATACAGGACTGTCCGTTGTAAAACTACGCAGATGGTCACCCTAGTTTTATTGCCATTAGAATTGCGAACGAGAAGCTCTAGCAATTATTTTATTTAATTTAATTGAGATTCTGAAATTTGAATACACAAAGCTTTTCTGTTTGGGGTCGTACACTAATGACGTCAAACATAAATCGATTTTCCATTCCACTTCCGTCTCAGAATTAGAATATTCTATTATTTAGCTTTAGACTCTGTCCCCTTAAATGTTACACATCACAAATGAATAGCCCCCATTTCCAGAATGTCCGACAGTTGAATCAAATTAAGCTTTAATTTCCTGGGATTCATCCTTTTCTCTTCTCCTTCTTAGAAAAAAGGAATGTAATTACTGTAATGCATAATAAGGCAAAGTAATTTCAATCAGGTAAAATGAGTTGACGTCAGACAAATGCCAATTCCCGAGTGGAGGAGTTGAACAGAGTTATGAAGTGGATTTATGGATGTATTTTTGGCATTTTAGAAATGAAAACGAAGGTTATGAACCGAAATTTCCCGAACAGTACAAGTCGATTAATGGATTTAAAATCCGGCGCCAAGTTGGGGTGACTTTGGCTTGATGCTAGCTTCGATTTAAATCCAGCACCATGCCAGAGTCACAACGGATTGTTTCCAGATTTCTAATCAATATACCGACTTGTGCCATCGGGGTTTATTCAGTATCTCTTGAGTGCTGAATCAATTCAAGGACTACCAAAAAAGTGTTCCTCAATCACTTGAGTCTCCAGCACCCCTGCTAATGCCAACAAAATGTCATTTTATCCGGATAAAGTCTTGAAATAATATAAAATAACCTTTTTTATTCGGAAAAAGATTCTTACCTGTATTTGATGTACCAATCATGACAATAATCATCCATAGGATAAGAAGGATAAAGGTATTTGAGTGTGCCATTTCTTATTATACTTATTTTATTTTTTTTTATTCTATATATGAATTTTCTTCTGCTTCTTCTTCTACTTCGTTCGGTCTCACTGTAAAAATTTTCTTATTTCATTTTTTATGTACACACCACATATGTGTTATGCCGTTAAGTTTAAGCACTCTCTGTGATACTTAAAAGTATTATAACAACAATTTCATCACATAAGTTGAATGTCATATTATAAGGAGTATGAGAGATAGACGACACTAGCTGAATAGCTACTCTCTTTTTATTATTTTTACTATCGACACAATGAAAATTTGTTGCTGCACGTAGATACACAATTACAGATTATTAAGAACCAGAAGCATTGTCACTTGCCTCGTCTGCATTTATAATAATTTTATCCAGGTATGTGTGCGCATTGTGTGGATTTAATGGACTCAATTGTTTTATGATATAAACATTCACTTCATTTATTTCGTATTGGCATAATAACATCCTGAATTTTCACATAAAGTGTAATTTGGTGCTCCACTTTATTTTTTTGTAATTTCACTTTTTGAGTCTCTCAAATTGCGCGCGAGTTTTTTTTTCACACAACAATGGATAGTACTTCCTTTACATTACACGGTTGTATGATGATGGTGAAGTAAAAAGGGAATGAATGAGGGGGGAAATGTGACGATGGTAAAAAAAGTTTTTTAATAACAAGCTATTTTCCCGCCCATTTCTCTTCTTCTTATCATCGTCATCATCATCATCATCATCATCATCATCTATACACAGAATCTTCTTGCTTGTATAATAGTAGTAAAAAAAAGACAAAAAGAGGAGCAATTTATGTTTAATTATCCTAAGTTGTGCTGTAAAATGATCCTCTTAGTAAAAATTTTGCTCCTTCCGCTTGATTTTTGGATGTTGTTACTGAATACCATAACATACCGGTTTAAGCATGACTGCACAACAACGGTAGTTGTAGCTTACTTTACACATCATCTCTGTATGATAAATTTTTTAATGATGAACTGAAGGAAACTTTTTCCTTACACATGAATTCATCCTTTAGACTCTCCCATTCGATTCCATTGCTTGCTTCCGTTTCGTCTTTATGGTTCAGTACAGGCAGAAAATTTTATATTTTTTTACCCTTATACGAATGCTCATAAATCTATAAGCCGCTCAGCAGAGGAGAAAATGTTTCTTGAGCTTCTCCTTCTATTGTTCTTTATTATTATTATTATTTTTTGCCGTTGGATGAATATTATCTGCAAATATAAGAGAAAAAAGATAGAATTTTATTAGATTATCAAATTGTAGGGAAAATTTTTCTCGTAATTACTTAATCTTCATATGTACATTTAATTAGAGGATTTATTTTTATATATAAGATGGAATTAAAAAGGAGAAAGCTTGCTTCTTGATTGTTTTTGATGAATATTGTGAGAATATAGCTTTAATTCGGTGGGAGGGAAGGCATATAATATGAGTCTAAGCCATGGTAAAGTCAAGTAAGGCTAAGGACCTTGGTGGCAGTGTAGAAGTGATCTCTGACGAATAATTTGTCTTTCTTTTGGAAACGTGGGTTCGATTCTTATTGAATATATTGTTTTTCCATATTTAATACACTTGTGGAAAGATTTAGAGATCGGTTTCTTATAAGAAACTTTCCTTCTTTGTCTGGGACGCACGTGGGCCCATTGCTGCGCTTAAAGATTGTCTGAAGACAGCTCTATCCTTAGGAACCTTCTGGCAGTTCGGATATTAAAGACTCTAGGGGGTTGCAAAGGGTAGTAATGCGAAAAATAGGTGTTTATCGCGCTTCAGCCTCTCCAACCTAAGTACCTACTCCACTTCCTCGTTGTACATTGCCTGGCTATGCCAAACTGCTCAAGTGGTGTGGTTCTAAAGGAGAAGGTATGTTCGAGTGAGAGGCTTGGCGAGCCCACCTTCGTTAAACAATCAATAGCCACGAAACGTAAAGAGAAGAATCAAAGGAAGGATCAAAGAATCGAACCTACTTCCACTTAAAAGACAACTACAGAATCTTGGTTTGATTTTTAACCACTCGACCATAAAAGTGTAACATTCGCACTGGAAGATTTGTCTGTTTAAAGGTCTATAATCCAGATTCAACTCTTCAATAAACAGTTTGGTTTTAAAATTTAAACCAAACCCTTTCTGCACTTTTGAGTTAAGCCAATTCAAATTTTAATATCAATTAAATTATTCTTGAATAGTTAAATATTTTTTAAAACTTAATTAATGCATAAATGCTCACGGAAGTTAGAAATAGAACTAAAAAATCTTTAAAAGCAAAAAGATTCAATATACAAAATTTTGCTTTTTTTATGCGAAGAAATAAAGACAAAATTTTATGTCTTAAGGCACAACAAAATGTGAACATTTCGTCTAATGTTTTCATTGCTTCAGTCGGAAATATATTCAAATATTATGCTTTGTGTGTATTTAGTTTGCTGAATGAAATGAGAAAGTTTTTATTCGAGTGCTAATTTTTTTTCTTCTTTTTAAGGTTTTATGATGAAGAATTTTCGAAATTGAAATCGATTTCAGGATTGTGGCTTGAGAAGACGATAATTATTCTATATCGATGAATTTTAGAATATTTGGTTTAATTAAAATTAAATATTTTCAAATTTTTAAATATTTCACAATTCAAAAAAATCTGAGGGGTCGTTCAAAAATGATGTCAAACTTTTTTGAGTTGCAATTTCATGCAGAATAGAATTTCTGTATGTCTTCAGGGTTTAAAAATTCAATTTTTTAATTGACGTCATTTATAAATGATCCTTATACGCATATGAGCGAGAGAGTTCCATGATTATTCACATCAATGAGTTTCAGAACTTGAAAAGAAATTTCCACACAAAAATTAAATTCAATTTCATTCTTCTTAAAACCACTTGCAAAAAAAATAGAAAAGTTCATGACTGCAGAAAGAGCTCAAAGAGCTTAACAGAAGCAATTTTCATTATCAATTTTTCATGTATTATAAATGAAGAAAAGAAAGCTTTAAAAAATTGAATGAAAAACACGCAAAAAATTTTCATTTCCCAAAAAATGCTCCCCCTCGATAACTTCAAGCTAGTCAAAATGAAGACATAACGAAAATAGCATTGGATTATTCTCTAGGCAATTTGCGTGATCCCTTCTATGTTGACTGACTTACTTCTTCTATTCTTTACATTTTTTTACTTATTCTAAATTCTTATGTATGAATAACAATTTCTTTTCCCACCCTCGTCGTTCCTTTCTTCATTTCTCTATATGCTTCTGCCTTATTATGACTCCCAAGACTTATTCTGAGAGGCAACGGCACACAAAAATGAGCTTTTTCTTCTCTATTTGTATCGTTATTGTTATGAGCTTTTTTTTCCTCGTTTTTTAATACAATAGTTATGGTAGGAAGGGTAGCTATAAAAAAAATCGATATTGTGACATAGCACTACTGTGCCTCTTTCTCCTGCTTATGATGTTAATGGAGTAGAAGAATAATTTTTTTTCCCACGGAAGTGCTATGCATAATAAAACATTGGAAAAATAATAAAAGACAATTCGAAATAAATTGGAATTATGCTTTTTTGCAGCCAGCAGCATCATGACGAAAAAAAAAACTAGAACATGAAAGCATTTGCATGTTTTAAAGAGAGCAAGTAAATAAATCTTCTCGAATGGATCAATAAAGTTGTAGTGAGCTCGTTTGTATTGGATAGTGGCCATGAAATTTGGTGATGTTTTGCAGATCTACTTAAATATTCAAGGCAAAGATGGAAATTGTGAATTTTAAAGTTTCAGTGCCCCCTCTCTATGACTTCTATCTACCCTTTAAAAATATTTAACTTAATAACTGACCGTTCCTAATGCCGTCCAGCATTAAAGGGGGTTTCAAACAAACACACAGATTCTTCATACAAATTTTGGGACAAAGGGAGGGGGGGGGGGGGTGTCTTAAAATCTAGTTTTTTGAAAGACATTATTTATTGACTGCCTCGAAGTAAACGACCACTGATCAGCCAGTCAGACAAACTGCCAAGCAACCGCATAAATTACATAAATGTTTTCGGTATATAAATTAACGAGTTAATGATCTCATAAATACTAAAATCAATAATTGTTATTATCATATTGGAAATAACTTTTAAGTATCAATTTTTATATTCATAATTTATGACTAGTGATTCATTAATTTTCATGCATAGTTTTGACTGACATTAATGATATTGATTGATTCATTTCAACTCAGCCACTAAATGTCAACAAGAGAATTAATGTGCATGCAAAGAGTCTAGATATTAAAATTTTACGGTAGGATATCAAATATATTGGTCACAGTCAAGAATGCAGCCTTTCTTGTCTTATTCACATGGCTTGATAAATCTGGCGCATAATCTTTGGATCAGTGGCAAAAATGTGACAGAAATTAGACAAGCTAGCTGTTTATGAACCTGGATTTTTTTTCGTGTGTCAGGTTTAGCTTTTATTATGAAAAACTCATCGAAGAGGTCTAGCCTTTTGAGTTGGAGGTGCGATTCAAATTTAAACAGAATTTTTTGCATCACACCCTTTAGTCATACAGTTTATAATGGAATCTAAACCACTTGCAAGCTCTGCACATTGCAAAGACACGAGCTCGTCTAAAGACCTGATGTACTCTGCAATGTGCATAGTTACGTTTTTTGTACGCAAGATGCTGAAATGAAATCTTGCAGATGCTAGTCCATCCCTAGTATACCTAGCAAAGGAGACATGTTATGTGCCGAAGACCTCAAAACTGCACCCAACACACGAACCGAGCTTTGATACTAAAACGACAAAATTGAAAAGGAGCTTTTAAAACTTGATTTGACCTGGGATTGAACTCAGAATCTTTTGGCACATGGCAAACGCTCTACCACTTAAGCCAATGATGCCATTTTATTGCTTAGTCTTTGGTATAGTCAAGTTGGCATGAGGATGGCACTGTTTTAAGGCCAGTGAGTTTTTCAGGATGCAAAACTGAAAATTCCCA